GGGTTAAATGTCCGGGGGTAATTGTCCGGGGGTAAATGTCCGGGGGTAACTGTCCGGGGCTGATTGTCAGCCTGGGGGGTAAATGTCCGGGGGGTGATTGTCCAGGGGGTAAATGTCCGGGGGGTAATTGTCAGGGGGGTGATTGTACGGGGGTAATTGCCCGGGGGGTGAATGTCTGGCGGGTAATTGTCCGGGGGGTGATTGTCCGGGGGGTATTTGTCCTGATACCGTTTTTCATATATGCGCCACGGTAATTTTGAAGGCAATGAAAACTCCGTGAAATGTATACCGTGGCTCATATATTTTTGTTTGCGTACCCGTGATTGCGTGTATGTGTTTTTTTTCCACATATGGGCCACAGTAAATTTTAAGGCTTTGTTTGTTTTGCTTGCGTACCGGTGTTTGCGTTCATCTGTTAGCGTGTAGGCGTGTATAATATGTGTTTTCCACATATTATACATGGACCACGGGAACTTTGAAGGCAATGGCAACTCCGTGAAAAGTATACTGCATACGCAAAAAAACCATACCATATTACCAATTTTGCCATTATGCCAACATTACCATATTGCAATTATACCATAAATGCAGACGCAATGTGCATGTGCGTTCGTGTGAGCGCGTGCGTGCGTCGCATACAGAACAATACTATCCCCATTAAAAATATACGTGGAGTGCGTGCACACCAGGCAATAGTTTTAGGCTAAAGAAATTGTTTACGCCGACCGACATTCCTATAACACAAAAACCACGACGCGCCAATGCCTTCAATGTTTGTGTACATTACATCTAATTCCAAGAAACGTTTTATTATTATAATACCGCAGATCGAGTTATAACTACTGACACAGCTTCAGATAAGTAAAGTTGCCACTTTATTTAGTTAGATACGTGAGAATAACAGCGAGCAAAAACATCCGTGGCATAACTCAACCAATACAACAAGGCAAGGGTATCAACATACATATTTGTGACATAATCTGCAGTTAACCAATGCGATATATCTCAATTAAATTAATTAATTATACAATACGCTATACATTTCATTAATTGTATTGGTTTTGTTTTATACAATTTTGTATAATGCTACTATAAAAATGGCAAGTGTACTTACCAAACCTAGCGCAGGTACTAATAAATGATAGATCGGCTTTATTCCTAACCCCGGTGGCCATGGGCTTCGTCCTATTAGAATACCTCGACTCCACGAGCAAATATTTCCTTCCTAGCCTAGCGTAATGCTACAGTCATATATTTTCTTCGACCATTTCACTTCCTGACCTTTCATAAAACTCGAATCCGTTCAGAAAGTCGTATTAGTACCCGCAATTTTGAAACGTGCAATTCAAATTCAACCGCGAGTGAGAGCAAATTTCAAAGAAGGAAACATTTTATATTTTTATTTCACGTTCCAGTGCTCTGATAAATCTTTCAAATATATCAAACGGCTGTTGTGTGATGTGGCTATACAGAAAATTGAAATAGACCATTATCATCTATTCAGTTATCTACATATGACATAACTAATGGATAGTACAAGCATATAGTCATATTTGCACAAGCGAGCATCCATCGTCTCCTATTTCCTGTACATAAATTGGAAATATTTATAACGTTTGGGCAATTCAGACTCGTTTATCCCTTTGCAAGATCTATATAGACATATATTCTTCTCTTTGTACAATGAATTCAGTTCAATCCGTTATGGAGTTATGTTACACTCATTCACATTTCTGTACACGTCTCTATCTCAAAAAATATATTTTTTTAGTTTTTACACTCAGTGCAACACTCGAAGAAATCGAACCCCGGGAAACAAATTCTCTTTGATCGATCGCAACTTACTTCCACGTTGTCAGTGAACGTCACAACCCCAAGCCTACTCTACTCGGCACACCTCTGCCGATTACATATACCTTCATGTAACTTTGACTATAACCTTGACTTGGCTGCCATAACTGGTACTACTTGTAATATCCATGCTACCAATCTAACCAACCTAAATCATCTCCAGAGAAATTACGATACCCTAGGCAAACTACTTATTGTCGTTAATTAAGTACTATTAATAAATAAATAATTATTATAAATGATAAAGGTAAATGATAAAAAGTAAGGGCTGTAACTACGCGCGTATATCCCTTTGTTCCGCTTCGACCTCTTTCGTAAACAACCCGTATAAGTGTTGTCAGGAGTGAATAATAATAGAGTATATGATTATATCTATTATTATTCACTCCTGGTGTTATGTAAGGTTTTACTATCTTGACAAAGTGATTAGAGTTTGCAACTTATAATTGTGTGAGCCGACATTGATATACCAAACGCCAGTAGTTGCACCCGATAAGCACCCTCGCTCGCTTCACCATTTATTCGCAGTAACGTCACATATATATTTTTTGGGAAATCAGCCAGCCCTTTCTAAAGATTATTGCTAACGTATGCGTAGGTCGTAGACCGATTGATGTGGGCATGCCCACAGGCACTTGGGACAAAGTCAGTAAAAACTGAAAATAATCTGAACGCAAAACACAAATACTACCCCTCAATTACACTTCCACTGTTGTGTCAACTTGCTTTCACAGAAACTAATGCAGAACTAGCCGCTCCCGCACTCGCCGCTGCGTGCACGTGCTGTGTCGCCATATATATAGCCGCTCCCGCACTCGCCGTTGCGTGTGTGCTGCGTCGCCATATATATATGGCCATATATATGGCGACACAGCACACACGCAGCGGCGAGTGCGGGATCGGCTAGTTCTGCATTAGTTTTTGTGAAAGCAAGTTGATATACAGACTATTATTTTCAGTTTTCACTGACTCTGTCCCAAGTGCCTGTGAGCATGAGCATGAAGCGAGGTATATTTAAGTATCTTGGGAAACATATAAAAAGTTGAATATTAACATCGTTTAGCACTGCGACATTTGCCTTCTATATATATAAAGTTGTTCAGTCGAATTAGTTCGTACTCGCATAACTAGAAAACTAAAATTTTAAAAAGTAGAAAAGTTAAAAATTTATAAAAATTCTATTCATCAATAGATGGCGGTGCGTACAGATTAACATCACTAACGTGTGAATCCATGATTATATCCTTAACG